CACCACATTTAAAAAAGCACAGTAACTCCAGCCTGTGCAGAGCTGGGGAGGACAATTAGGTGCAGAAAGGTCATCTGCCAACACATCTCTGTTAACCTCAGTTTTATGGTCCCGGCTTTATTCTGCTTTGGTAAGTCCCAAACATTTATGTTCTCGTTTGTTTTCCAAACTGCTGTCACAGTGTCAGCAGCAAACCCCTTTTTGTGGAACCATCTTTGGTCCCTGTGATACAAGTCAGGAGGAAACTGAAATAGGTGTTCCTTGCACTGAACAGTAAGTTCAAAGATTTTCTGCAAGTCTCTCTAGTTTGGTGGAAGAAGGATTTGGCACGTGGACATGTAGACAGCCTTGATGTCTGATGGGCTGGAAAGAGCTGTCTACCTCTATACTTTCAGCTTCTCCACTGGCCAGATGCCCTGAAAGCCCTTCTCTGGGTGGGATGCACATCACAGATGGGAGTTGCAGTAGGTCCATGCCAGCAGTCCGCATTAACAGCCTCAGCAGTCCCTCTGGAGCCGGAGGAACAGGCGTTGGAGCGTGTGCTCTCCGTGCACCCCAACGAGTGGGTGCCAGTCCTGGCACTGGTGCCCCGTGGTGTTGGCACGAACCACAGTCCGTGGAGAGCAGCCAGTCAGTTCTGCCCTTGCCTGTCCACAAGCCCACAAACACTTTTGTCTTTTATTTCTGCATCAGCAGAATGCACCGTTGTTTCCATATGTTGGTGAGAGTATATGAATGCTGCCAGAATGTTTTTATTTTCAAATAAGATGAAAATGGGGAAGGACTTGCTGGCCATTGCCATTGGCAGGGATGGGGCCCTGAGGGTTTTGCTTGAGGTCAGCACAGAGTTATGGTTCATAAGTAAAAGTTCTACATTTTCAGGATCTGCTATTGACAAATAATCGCCTTCTCTGCTCCCTGTTTGTAAACAGGCAGTTAGTTGTGGTTTAATGTCCTGTGTGTGCAGAGAAGGAAATGTTGGCCAAATCCTGACCCCACAATGGCTCAGGTCACCCACAGGACCCAGATGACAAGGACTTTGAAGGGTTTTCAAAGCCTTTATGATTTAAACCGTGTGTCTGAAACTGGCTCTGTGCTGTAGAGGTGAAATACGTAGAAGTGATGCTGGTAGGTGAGAGCCGAGTGCTGGCTGGTACCTGCCTCTCCAGTGAATTTACAGATTTCTGCCTTTTGCCTCTTTTTGCATTCTCCATCTGTAAGGTCCTGTGTTTTTCACCACAGAACTTTGCAGGTCATCCTGCTGCTGCAATGAGGTGTTGTGGTTTATTGAAAATAGGTAATGTTCACATTTTAATGTGTTGGAGTTTTTTTCCGAACAGCCTTCATTGTGTGGTTGAAATGTTAAAATAACTGATATACTGATAAAACACTTCTAAAAGCTCATAATATTCAAATGCTGAGATTTCATTGCTGTATTCAAATAGGAGGTAAATTCCTGCTCTCCACAGTTTTATATATATTCATGATCAATAATTCACACCTTGTCATAGCTCTCAATGTTATTATTTCATATGAAATGAAAAAAAACTTGTTTGTGCCTGTTTTAAACGTTTTGCCCTGGAGTTTTGCCTTGGCAGAAGCAAAATGTAAAATAATGCAGCCGTGGAGGGGTGGGTCAAATTGCCGTACATATTAAAAAAGGAGCTTTTGATCAGCTCCTTCAAGGGTCTGGTATGACTCCATTTATCTGAAGATCTCAGGGGACGCTCCAAACCTCCAGATAACTGGGGGCTTAGTTAATCAGGGCTGCCAGCTGTCCAGCTTTTCGCCGGGGTAGGTTCAAGATCACAGCCCATCCTCTGCAGCCCCAGCAGTGGATTTGTGTCCCTGCAGCCCTCGAGCCCTGAGGCTTCTCTAGGAAAGCTTCACTTGGGCCTCCCTCATGGTCCTGCTCAGCCCAGAGCACTGCCCTGAGCTGGGATGGGGGTTTGCTGATCCGTGGGTTGCATTTTTAAACCAGCAGTTTCTGTGGCACTCCATCTAAATGCAGCTCAGTGTTCAGGGCTCCTGCGTGTCAGGTGGCTCTGCCCAAAGCTCGCAGGAGCCGGGACACAAAGTCCGGGCTAGGAAGAGTCAGTTGTAAGGTGTGTAAGTCAGGGACATTTTGGGGCCAGCTCGTAGGCTGGAGGCACAGCACGTTGGTGTGGTGCAGCTCTGACAGAAGTATGGCTCCAGGGATTATTGGGATGGACACATTCCTGCAGAGGGACAAAGAGGAAACTTCTTGAGGCTTTTATTAACAGGATGGAGGTGTTTTTCAGAGGGTTCTTTACAGCTCGTTCATGTAAATTCTTAACTTCAGTAAAATTTTAGTTGGCTTTTTATTTTACTGAATCCCAGCTTTTCTCCCCAGTCTGTGAATGTACTGGAACAGAGAGGGCAGGGAGTTTAGTTTCATTTTCCTGCAGTCACTCAATTCTTTTTTGATTAAGCTGTAAGTAAAAATGAGCAGGGGAACCTGCTCACTGCCCACATGGCGGGAGCTGCCGTGCTGCCTCCTGTTCCAGGGAGCCCGGCAGGGACACAGGGAGCAGAGAGCCGAGGCAGGGCTGGAGAGTGGAGCTGGTGTGTGCAGCACTCGGCCTCCCCAGGACCCCCTGCTTTTGGCTTTTTAATCTGCAAGGGGGGCTCTGAATTGGGATCCCCCTCATGCCTCCAAAGCCTCTGTGGATCTGCAGGGCTCTCCGGCCCTTGGCATCAGCATGGCACAGTGTGCTGTCCCTCAGCTGCCTCTCCTGGAGCTGCCCAGCTGTTTGGCCCAGGGGTTTTTCCCAGTCTTTTGTGTGGCGAGGGGCACCCTCCAGCTCATCAATAGGCATTTTCAGGGTGCGGAGCAAACCCGGTCGGCGTGTCCTGGCTGTGATTTTCCGTGCAGCACTCACCGAGGCGGCACAGCCCGCGGTGTGCCCGCGGTGGCTGCGTGTGCCGCTGTGTGCGATGTGCGCGGCCGTTCATTACCCAGCAGGGCATTATCAGGCAGAGCATGAAAAGCCTTTGCCGTCCCCCCCGCCTGGTTTGCAGCGGCCCACGCGCAGCCCCGGCCGTGAATCGAGAGCTGCCGGCCGGCCCGCAGGCTCAGGTGGTCGGCAGCCCCCGGTGTCGCCGAGCCCTTTCAGCAATTTGTCACGCCTGGGTCTGCTCCCGCTGCGCCAGCACGTGCCAGCTCCGTGTCGGAGGGGCTGTGGGCCAGACGGCCGCGCAGCCCCCGCATCCCGCTGTTCCCGGCCGGCGCTCGCCCGGCCCGCTCCGCACGGCCCTGGCAACAGCCGAGCGCCGAGGAATCAGCATCTCCATAATGAGAAGTGAATGGCATCCGTCAGTCCCTTTAGAATAGGGCCCAGGCGTGTGCCTCCTCTCCGAGGAAGTTTGGCAGCCTATTCATTAACAAGAGTCATCAGGAGTTCAGCCCATAATGGGGAGGCAGCCCCGCACGCTGCGGGCTGGCGCTGGCGCTGTCAGGAATGTGTTCTCCCGGGCTTCGGGGAAGGGAGGAAAACTGAGCAAATAACGCTGTCAGCAGGTGCAAACGCTGAAATGCTGGCTATTGATTTTCTTTCTCCAGGCTTCCACGGGAAGTTTGTAAGAAGATTTATCACATATCAATCGTCCTCTGCAAGCGTTAAAAGCAAAATTCTTCTTTTCTTTCTTTTTCTTTTGTTGCCACCACGCCTGCAGGAACTCGCGTGCAATGAAGACGTGCTTTGCTTATTCCCCTCAAGGTCGACACTAGACCATCGTCTCCTGCCTTTAAGCGCTGCTTTACTCTGATATTTTTTTTTTAAATACTGTTTCAGAGTGGTTTTGTTAATGTACTGCAAGTTACAAATGGCACTTCAATATTAATTAGTAATGCTTTTCAATTCTAAATACCCTCACCTGCATTCTGTTGTCACTGGTGTTATTCTCCTGCTCCTAATTTCTAAATTCAGCTTGGCCTTTGCTCCCACTGAACAGCCTTGCGGAGCTCGAGTGCATTTCCCCGTAACAGAAGCACAATGAGGCGCTGAAAACTTTTGTTTTCACTGAGGAAACGGAGAATGAGATGTCATCCTGGCTCCTGCGAGCCCTAATTCATAAAGTCATACGTGAGGCTCTCCAGCCCATTGTAGATTTGTCCTGAGCGTTATCCTGTTATTGGAAGTGTATGATTCACCTTCTGAGCAGACAGAAGCTGCACACAAAAGGGGAAGATTTGCTTTCTCCACTGTGAAAGGCTGCCGCAAGCAGGGGTCCTATTAAGACAGCTGGAAAGTTGCTTCAGCTTGTTACGCTTGTAAGTTTTATTGGTGACTGGTTTTTGATTACACATTTGAATGCTGTGTGTTCCAGGTTGCCGAGTTTTAATTAAAAGGCAATAGTCTCCATGTTAGCTCGCTTTGTTGTCTGCATTATGCAGGCCATAATGCATGCAAGTTGTGGGCTGGGTTTGTCCAATGTCCATCGTTTCTTTGGGATACATAGGGTTGCACCTTCCAGCACCTGCCCTGAATACAACTGTCACGCTTTCAGAATTGTGTTTATTGTGGTTAATTTCTTTTGAGAAGTCCAGTGATCAAATGAATGTGAGGGGGGGTTGATCCCCTCTGTCCCATAGCTTGTTTCTCCAATCTAGTCACTTTTCTAGTCATTGGAACAGGAATATTGTGTGCCAGGAGCTTCCCATAGTGCCCCAGCCCGTCTGTGACGGGGGGTTCTGGTTTGGAAAGCTGCGGTCTGGGGGTTTGCTCCTGCCCTTGGCAGCTCCCGAGTGGCTGTTTCTGAGTCGTGAAGCTCAGAGGTGTTACCCTGAATTTCCAGCCCTGAAGGGTGTCCTCTCCTCACTGCTCCCGTTCAGAACTGCTGGACAGTTCTGGTCCCCCCCGTTCCCTACCCATTGCAGCCTGGTCAGCGTGGATGTGGGGCTGAGGGGCTGGTGCTCAGGGACGCCGTGGGACAGCCTTGAGCTCTGCACACACGTTTCCTTAACGGGGCCACCGCAGCTACGAGGAGAGAGCTCTGTACCTCGAAGCCATCATCCAGAACCACAAAGAGGTGATGACGTTCGAGGATTTTGCCGCTCAGGTCTTTTCTCCCTCTCCCAGCTACTCCCTCGGTGGAACTGGTGAGTCTCTGCACGTTATTCTTCTCTGTAGCCCCAAGAAGCACTTGAGCAGCAGATGTACACCTGTTTTTTGTAGATAAATGCTTGCAAATTTAAGAAGACCATTCTTCCCCTGAATCAACTAATGAATATCAAAAGGAATGATGACATTCATTTTAATTTGTTTTGCATCAGAGCTATTCAGTCTGCTCCTTTCTTCAGCTATCCTGTTAACCCCCGACTCTGGCGAGGTTAATGAACTTTCTTGCAGTGATGGGCTCCAGCTCATTCAGGACTCCGGGTTCTTGCTGAGCTGGGAATATGTTGTTCAAAAGCGAGGCCTGAATTGGGGCTCACTTATCAAAAATAGTTCCTCGCAGGGGAAGCTGCTGCTAATGCTAAATGGGGATTATGCTGCTGAGCTACCAGGGTCAGGGATTAATGCCCAAGAAACGCAGGAACGGGGTGCTGTTAGGGAATCACAGCGGCGGGCGGGATGCGGGCGCGTCCCTTCAATGCAGACAAGCACACTGCAGGCTGCCCTCCAGCACCTGGCCTGGAGCCTCTTTGGGGGCTTTAATGGATGTGTGGATATATGTGGGGGGGGTGGTGTGTGTATACACGCACATCAATGCTCATCATTCATCAGCCCTCCTGAGAGGTGACAACGCAGTGCCAAACTCTGGGCATTTATTCCTCGTGTGCCCTGTGGAGATTTAGGTTAGTGTGTGGTCAGTGAGGTACCAATCGCTGCCTGGCTGGTTCCATTGAGTTTAAGTGAACCTCTTCTGAAAGGGATCTTTTGCTCTGAAATGCAGATTTCTAGTGCCCTCAAGATGTGTTTTTTCCAGCCTCCAGAAAGTATCTGTCACCGTGTGCTGGACTCTCTAACAAAGATTCCTTAATCCATTGTTGACACTCATAGGGTGACACAGGCACTTTCTAATCATTCTCTGCTTCTCTTTTGGATTGCTGAATAGATTATTTCCAACTTGTACAAACGTTGCAGGACATCTGCTCTATTTCTCTTTAGCCCGACTTGTTAGCAGATATCTTCCATCTAAACTGAAACATTGAAGGAAGAAATTAAATTTGCTAGAATAAATCACTTAGGAATAAAACCAGCCGTGCAGCATTGTCTAGCGTTCCTGGCTCCGGTCCTGGCGCGCTCGGAGCTTTGTGAGGAGATAAGAGGCCTGTGCGGGCCGGGCAGTGGTGGCCAGGAGCAGCAGGCAGAAGGCTTTGGAGATAAGCGCTGGCAGGAGGGGAGGGAGCCGGGGCCATTTACATAATCGCGCCTCTGCGTCCTGGAGAGGCGTCAGGGAACACGGGATGGATCTATTGATCTCTGCTGAACTGGAATACTAAACAACGCGAGGAAAGCTTATAACTTAAAGCTTTGATTAATGTTTCCTACATTAAAAAGTAGAACAGCTGTGCATTAAATTCTTTTATACACTCTGCCAAAAGTCTGAGACAAAAAAATCGCCCGTTTCAATAGGAGCGCAGCGCGTGCCCAGGGTTGGTTGTTAGCACTTGAATCGTTTATCTGTTGACATATCAGCAAATAGAAACGTAGATATATTGATCTGTTTTAAATGTTTTGCTCTGTGCATAATTGTGTCTCATTTTGGTGTTTTTAGAGCATGCAGTGCTCTGGTTGTGTACAAATGTGGTCTGACGGGGCAGATCCCTCGGCAGTGCCGCTCTCTGAAGGCTGGGATATGCTGTGTGTGCCAGACCTGGTTAAAGTGTTTCCCAATTGCTGAGGTTTTCAGAACACTGTTAAATTATGAGTACCCTGGATGTGGTTTTATAATTTCATTATTTTAATTGCTTTTAATTGTAAAACCTGCCCCGGTCAGGTCCCTGTTTTTGGACTTCAGAGCCTTGGAATTAATTTCTCGCTCATGAACTGGAGGCTGGCCATGACTTCTGGTGTCAGAATCTCTGCTTCAGAGAGTCTCCTCACGTTACCTACTGATTCACCTGCATATTTAGTCAGTGATGAGCAAGGGCAGTGTCAGCCATGGCCATCGGGATGTGTTTTCCATCAGATGCTCCCTGGCAGTTGGAAGGGAGGCTGGATGCAGCCCTGGCAGCTCAGGAGCTGTTTCCCAGCATGCAGCCTGTGCCACAGGCAGGCAGTCCTGCTCCAGGCATAGACCCACCCGTTTAACGCCTGCAGGAATCACCTGTGTGCTGCTTAGGAACACGGTTGGCATTTTTTTCCATGTAAAAAGGGAACTTCTATTCTGAAATCAGGGAGCAATAAATGAAAAAAAAAATTTCCCTGAGAAGGTAGTCAGGCACTGGCACAGGCTGCTAGGAAGGTGCTGGAGTCACTGCCTCTGAAAGTGTTCAGAACGTGTCTGAATGTGGCTCTTGGGGATGTGGTTTAGGGGTGATGATGGTGGTGCTGGGTTGGTGGCTGGATTTGATGATCTTGAAGATCTCTCCCAGCCTTGATGATTCTGTGGGATTCATGGAGCTGGCACAGGTGACGAGCCAGCTGGTGCTGCTGACTCTGCCGAGCGTAAATTCCTCAGGTAAATTTAAGATTAATTCTCATCTGATCTGATTCTTAATGCCACTCAGGTGTGGTCCTGTCAGCGCTGGAATACACGCGTGCAGCAGAAAGGTCAAGGAGTAAGTGTGCTTTTTATTAAAATGAAGCTTGTTCTCAGTAGTCATAAGAAGAAATCAGGCCCATTAAATGAATTGAACACGTAGCTCTCGCTGACACACATCACTGGGGTGTTGCTAACCATGATCTAATGATTTGAACTGCATGGTTTTGCATTTTCTGATGCTGCCCCGGGGGATGCATCCCCCAGGCTCAGGTCGGATGTGGGTTTCCTGCCCTGGGTTAGTGTCTCTGTCACCAACAGTCTTGCAGGTGCTGCATTTTCTGCACGAAAATCAGAAAATCACCCAGTTGATCTCCTTTGCTGTTTCCAGGCTCGGAGCCTTAAACTCCCTGCACGGCTCACAGATAGCCCTGGCTATCTTCAGCAGCCGGGTAGGCAGAATGGCCATCCCTGAACTCATTTAGGGGATGTGCAGATTAGGAACAAAAGCTGGGAATACGGCCCTTTGTTGTTAAACTGGTGCATTACATGCTGTATTTTAATTAGGCTGGGTCTGAGAGGCAGCCCAGGAAATCCTCCATAATCCAACACTATTGAATTATTCTCATCCTTTCCCTCTGCAGATTTCTCTCCTTTTAGAGGACGGGCTTTAAGCTGCTGTTCTTGCTCCCTCAGCCAAAACCAGAAACAGTTATTCAACAAAATACTTGCGTGTTCTTTAAAAAAATGGTGAGGCTGAAGCGGGCACACACAGACAGAGCAGCGCCCCAACTTTGCCTCTGTGGCTCAAAGGGCTGCCTTGGGCTTGGGGGTTTTTTGGTGTAAGATCAGCAACTAGAAGCGTGGTGTTATCCCTTAGGAAGTGGAAGTGGCCAGGTATTCCAGGGCAACTGTCTGATCATAGCTTGCCCACCATGGGAGGATTCTGTGCGAGGGGTTTGTACAGGGCAGGTTTCTGTTGGAAGGGAACCCCTGAGCTGCAGCGCTGCCGTTGGCACTCCAGGGGTTAATGGGAACGGGCACACTTGACTGCTGAGAGGACTGATCTAATCACTGCCATATCCAAGTGCATCTGTTCACCATGAGGTCATTCTTGTGCATGCTAATGACTTGGAAAATAAAGCACAATGCTCAACGTTATCAGGGAGGATATAGTGTAAATCTTGGCTTTTTTAGTTGCTAATGGATATTGTGGAATGGGCAGGCAAAGCATCCCGGATTCTTGTGTTCCAGCTTAATGTTTTTAAAGCATCCTTTTCAGTGGAGTGTCAGGAAAACTGTGCTGGAAAACTCAGACATGTGGTATCTGTTGATAAATGGATTCTTTAATGAATATTATGGCATTGCCCAGGAGCAACACTTGAGTTGAGGAACTATAGAGGTTTTCAGCATTCCCTGGTTTTAAAGCCTCGGGAGCCTGCCTGCTGATTTACATAAAACCGAGATTTTGCAGGCTTTTTGTTGTAAAGGTGACACATGCTTTTCTTTTGTCTCCAGACTTTTACATGCATAAAGTTCCTCTGGAAAATACTTGAATGTACAAGGAACCAGATCTGGTTTATTTTAAACCACTTTTTGATCAGTGCTGAGCTTTATCTTTCCCACTTTAAAGTGAAAGGAATATTTCAATTTGACACCTAGATTTAAAATGTATTTTTGACAGAAACAAAACCAAACCCAGAGTAACTATTGCGTTAACCAGACTGATGCTCTTTGTAACGATGAGACAGGATTCCTTTTGCTTTGGTGTGGTTTTTCTGTTTTTGTTTTTTACTTCTTTAGGTTTTTTGTGCTTTTATCTTTTTCCTTGAAAAAGGGTGTTTTCCTTGTAGGGTGTTTTGTCAGATCTGTGTACAGGTGGAACAAAAGTCTCTCCGGGTTCTGTATATATAATATTTCTGCCTGTTTTGGGGAATAGTAAAAAAACACACATCTGAAAGTGAGTAGCTGTGCCACAATACCGCAGCACGTGCGGCATGTGTCGTGTTTGATCTGTGTGTCAGTGTTGCCTGAAACGGAACAATTCATTTCTAGTACCTGGGACTCAGGAAATTCCTGCCTGTCCTGGCTGCTCGGAACCACGGCTCAGCTGCTGCCGCCAGGAGAGGAGGCAGCGCTGGCACTGTCTGCCAGGGGCAGCTGTGGGCTCCATCCTCCGTGCCCAGCCCTCCCTGGTCCGGGCCGGGGGTTCCTCTGATGTGGGAAGAAGGACAGGGAATTGAGTGGTTAGCACGGAGCCCGTGCTCAGCAGGTGAGATGGAACTCAGGTAGCTGTCGGTGCTGCCGTGGTGGAGGTTGTCCAGGCAGTGAACAAAGAGGAAAAGCTGAGGGAGGTGGAGTAGAGGAGCCAGAAGAGTTACCACAGGAGGCAGGATTTGGCTTTCTCTTCTCCTCCTTCCCTGTGAGTATGCAGGAGGAGGCACAGGGACCTGTCTGGCTTTCCCTCTCTGTTTAATCCAGGTAGCTCCACATCCTGAGCAGACTGGAGCCTCTGTCCCAGCTGCTGCTGGGCTGCCCTTGGGAGCAGATTCGGGAGCTGCTTCTTGCCCCTGTGCTCTCTGTTACCAGTGTTCCCTCCGTGGCTTTCCTGCCCTCATCCACAGAGCTGCCACCTTAGTGTCCCTGTGAGGGGCAGGCACGGTCTGCCATTAAACAGAGCAGTGTCACAGTTACCACGAATTGTTGGGGCAGCAGCTCTGTCCCCCCATAGCTCCTGTGGCTGAACAGGCCTGGCTCCGGAGGCTCTGGATCCCTGCAGAGCCCTAGGGAAGTTGCATCCTTCCTTTGCAGCTCCCTGCAAAGCAGCGGCCGCCTGCTCTGGGTCTGTGCCCTGCACTGACGAGGGCGGGCAGCCCTGACCTGTCCCCGAGGCAGGGCAGGTGCTGGGGCTGCTTCTCCCTCAAGCCTGGCGTTCCCTCGGGATCTCCAGCAGGGAAGGGGCACATTAGGGCTCTCAGCCTGGGCCCCTGCCTTTTCTATGTAATTGACTGGCTCAGAGGGAGCTCCCCCAGCTACAATCTCCGGGAGAGGAGGCAGAGAGAGAGGGTTTCTCCAAGCAATCAGTGCTGGGATGGGAGAAAATATGAGCTTGACAGGCCCATCTCTCCTGCTGGGTGACAGCTCCAGCTGCTCGAGCTGTCAGCTCGGAGAAGGCTCCGGGCAATGTGGCCCCTTTGCATTTTCTCTCTGCACTGAGGCATCGGCTCCGTGGCCACGGAGAGCCAGAGCAGAGCTGGAGCAGAGTGGCCGCGGGCCAGGGGCTTGGGCTGCCCCACCTGTGACACCCCCAAAACCCCCAACGCTCCCCCTGGCTGAGGTTGAGGCCAACCCGTGCAGAACTAATTAGCGGCTGCTCCAAGTCCTGACTAATTAAACTTCGATGTGTACATTTAGGGTTTATTTCCAAATCCCTCAAACCATCAAGGCTGGGCCTGTGACGGTGCCAGGCACTCCCTCCTGGAAACTGTGAATGCTATTTTAGGGGTGGTTCTGCCCCTGATTAACCTGTAGTTTGAGATTCTCTTACTGCTTCATGTAGAGCTTTCCAAGGCACTGCAGGACGTGTTTGATTAGCACAGCCACTGCTTCAGTTATCGATGATTTCTTCCACGCAGGCTCAGGATGCTGCTTACAGTGTACTTTGAGCCTGTCCTTGGAAGTGGGAAGCAGCAACACTGGGCAGATTTACTACAGTGATTCTCTCTGGAATTTTCTGACCTTCACATTTACTAGGAAGGAAAACAAAGATTTCCACAGCCCTGTCCTGGCTGACAGGTTAATGGGGGGGCTGGAACAGGTCACAGCCCCTGTGACAACTTCATGGGTCTTCTCAAATACAAGGCTTCAGGATCCTTACAGGTCATGGAGACCCACCCTTGCTTTCAGGGGTGTTCAGCTACTTCAGTTGGAGAGAAATGGCTGAAAGGTCATTCCTAGAGCACCTGCCCTGGCAAGGCGGGGCATGAGAAATGAGGTTTGTTCTCTGGTGGATTTGAGATGCAATAAGCCATTTCTCTCTAGCTTCCCACAAAACAATTTCATTTGAAGTGTGTTTTTATCTGTATTCCTAACTCCATTTCTAATCCCCTCCTGCAAAGAACTTACTTTAAAAGCTTAAGCCTCCCTCACCAGGTCTTACCTGTAAGAGGCCCTACACTGCTCATTTCCTGGGGTTTTAACCTGCCTGCAGTGTCCCAGTGGTTTAGGTCTCTGTGAAGCCTCAAATCTTACACAGTTTGAAATGGTGTGACCAGCAGCGGTGCTGGAGGTGGAGCCGAGGCAGCTGCACCCACCGTCCCATGGCAGCTCGTTTGGCAAAAGCTGAAGTGCAATGATTATTCATTCCCATCTTTGCCAGCATTCCCTCCCTTGACTGTTTCAATCCACAGACCTGAGAAGGAAGCGTGTGGGTCCCTGTTTCTCCAGGTCCCCGAGGGCTGAGGGGAACTCTCCTTCCTGAGCTGCCCTTCCTGCTGGTGCCCAGCGTGTGCCGGCGTCTGCTGTGCCAGGCTGCCGTTGGCACAGTGGGTGCCGGGTGTGCTGCTCCTGCACTGACACCGTTTTGTGTTCTCTCCCTTTAGATTAGAGTGTGTAACGCTCTCGTTAATGGCCGCAGGTAAGAGCGACGCTTCCCGCAGGCCCCTCTGCTGCTGCCGCTGTGCTTCACCTCTAACAGCTCTCCTCCTCCTCCTCCTCCTCCTCCTCTTCTTCCTCCTCTGCTCAGCGTGCGGCCGTGGTGGCTCTGGGGCCCTCCGGGTCTGTCTCTGGCTGTCCCTGTCCGCTCTGGCTCTGCGTGCCCTGAGCCCGCGTGGTCCCTGCTGCCCCGGCGGCTGCTGCTGGGCACGGGGACACAGGCACTGAGGGAAGGGCCTGTGGGTGTGTGTGACCAGGGATGGGACAGCCACGCTGGCCACTGTCCCCAGTGCCCACAGAGCTGTGTGGGGCTGCCCCTGCCACCATGTTCACCCGTGCGACAGGCAGGGAGCAGCTGCCGGGCAGCTTTTTTCCCTCTGTGTAAATTCCACTTGTTTGGATGAGTTCTGAATTTTAAAGGCTCCACTGGTCCATGAGAGTCAGAAACTGGTGTTTGTGGTTTCCTCATCATTTACTATTTTGTATTTACAAGCTGCTGTTTGGTTTTCACTGCTGGTAATTTCACATTGCCCAGGCACACTCCCAAACAAACAACAGTGAGGGAGCAAACACCCTCCTCCATAGCACAGGAGCATCCCAACCCCAACCCACCGCCGACCGTGGGCGCAGCCGAACGCGCAGAGCCCCCTCTCCGACTCCACGGGCTCCCCTGGCAAGGCAGTCAAGTCATTCGAGCCTGTGCCAGACAGCCCACGAGGGGAATGAGAACACTGGGGAGGGGAGCCTTTCTCCAGGGCGGTTGTCACTTGCTCACTGCGCAGCTGCCACCTCCCCATCAATCACGGTGCTCTCAGGGAGCTGCAAGGTGGGCTGCAGAGCTCGGGACGTGCCAGAAGGAAGCTGGGACTGTCGGAATGCTCCAGCTCCAAGGTGGATGTGCTGCGGGTGCTCCTGGCCTAGGTGTGCCTGGCCACAGCCCCACCTGCCCCCTTGTCACAGGCATCAGCCAGGCATTGTTCAGCCCTCACATGAGCGTTGCTTCAGCTCGTCCATTTGGGGAAAACCAACTATTTTGACCATATGCCATTCTGCCTCACTGCAGGAATGTCAAGTACGACACCTCCCTCGCAGCCCTTCCCTCCCCCACACTTTTCTCCCCGGCCAGCAGCACCACAGGTTTTGTTTTTAATCCAAAACTGACAGCTCTGAATTTTTCACAGAAAATGCCTTTACAGGCTAAGTCACATTTTCCACCTTTTTAAAATGTGCTATTTCCCCTCAGTCAGTTGTGTTGAAGTACCAATCTGGTAAGTAATGGCTGTCTTTGAGATGCAGACGGGGGCTGTAGGCTGGCTGAGGGGGCTCACCCTTCGGGTTTGGCTGCTGCTGTTCCACTCCTGCTTTGAGTCACTCAAATAACCCAGAGCTGCTGAAGCAGAACAGGTCACCCCTCGTGTTGAAAGCGCAGCAGAGCCCACGTGGGTCTTTGTCCTGGGACAGGGGCAGGGCTCATCCTGCCGCCGCACTGACCCACGGCCTCATCCCCACCTGTCCAGGAGGGCAAGGCTTGCCCTGCTCACCTGTGCTCAAGGGGCAGCTCAGCCAAGGCCCTGCCCGGGCTTTGGGGTGTTTTGTGCATGTCTGGGAGTCACCCGGGCTAGGAAAGGTGAGGGGAGGATTAAAGAGCCCTGGACTGGCCGGGCACAGGAACTAACAGCAAATAAAAGCACAGGCAGAGAACGGAGCCAGGTGTTGAACTGGAAATAGGTCTGTGCTGCCAAACACAACCATCCCTCTGGAGTTCAGAGGGAGTGGCACCGGCACTGGCCTTTGGTGTGGGCTTAGAGCCTCCCTCCATCCTCCTCACCTGGCTGCAAGGCTGTTCTTCCCTCCCACCTGTAGGAAAAAACTTGTGTTTGCACTTAGGGAGAGAATTGCAACACGGTTTAAAAATACTGTTCCCCAAGGGAGCTGATGAAATGGAGTTCCTCTGGGAAGCACCTTGGGACAGGTCAGACCCCCAGCAGCAGGAGCAGGGCAGGGTGTGTCCCTGGGAGCAGCTGCACCTGGCTTTGGTCATTTGTGTCTCAGTTAAAGGCCCTGTGTTCACCTGCTCCCACTCAGCCAGCCCGAGCCTCTGGTCGTACTGGCCTATGGGGAATAAATGAGGTGGAACTCCAGGCTGCAGAAAACAAAGTGTAACCCCAGGTTACACCCCAGAGCCTCCAGGCTCCCAGAGACCCTTCTAGGGTGAGCCAGTAATGAGGGTACCTGGTGTCCTGTCACGTAGTGGAATTGGAAGAAATCGTGATTCTTTAGGATTTTTTTATCAGAGACACCAGACATCTTCCAGGGAGTTTCGTGTGAGTCCTCACGCTGGGGAAGCTCGTTTCCAGCTCCCTGTAACAGACTGAATACAAAAGAGCTGCTTAGTGACACACAGCAAAAAACAATTTTATATAACCCACACAGAACTATTGTATGTGGGTTTGTTGGAGCTTCAAGTGAGCAGGATGGGAGTATCCTCCCCCCATCCCATGGGGCTGCTGCGGCACTGGGAGCCACTGGGGGCTGTGCAGACCCAAAGGGGCTGATGCCAGCGGCCTCAGCACTCACCTGGGCACTGAGGCCCATCACGGCCTGGCTGCTCCTCACTTGTGGGAGCTGGCAAAGAGAAATCCCTGATTTCTCCAGGAAGTGCAGTATATCACACTTCCTCAGGTGCCTGGCCAAATTCCTCCTGTAGAATGTCAGGTTCACATGAGTGATGCCCAGGAGGAACTGGGAAGAGGGGAGGGGCTGTGCCACGCAGTTATTCCAAGGCACACAGGCTCTTTTGTCCTGACCTGTTTTTTCCCTGCCTGCTCTGTGTTCCAGGCTGCCTCACCACAAGTGCAAGCGCTGACCTCACTGTCACCATCGGCATCGAGCTGGCGGAGCCGCCCTCGCCCCCGCTGCCACGTGCCTCCAGGAGCAGAGTGTCGGGGAAGCTCCGCCGCTCCGCCAGCGCTCTCAGCAAGGCTTCCAGCTGAGCTCCGGGACACAGAGCTCCGGCCAGGGGAGTGACACAATGGGCACTTTTGGGGGAGCTCCTCTGGAAGGGGATGGACGAGGGCTTTGCTCTGTAAAACTGCCGTTCCCTGAGCGGGACAGACGTGGCTGGTGATGAGGTGTCACCTGGGTTACCATCAGTGTGGTGCTGTCACTGGCTGAGCAAGGGCCCCGAGCCCCTGGGCACAGGCGCTGGCGCCACAGCTACAGGTCATGAACCAGCACTGAAACCAGTTATCCAATGTACCCTTAGAGCATCGCTTTAGTCATTCCATGCAGCACTTACCTGTGCATTAGGGAATTCTGTCTAAATAGAGGTTTTCCTGTGACTAGCCAGGTAGCACATGTTCCCTTTGGGAGCACAGGTGGAAGAGGGAGCAGCTCTCCAGTCTGTGCTGTCCCACTGCAGGGCACTGTGGCCCCTCCATGGCGTGTGATGGCTGCGCACTGAACCACTCCCTAGAATGCAAAAGCCACACTCCTGCCACGACCCTCCCCAGCACAGAGTGAAGAACTGGGTAACCCCTTCCCTGTGTCCCAGCAGGGCAGCAGGCTGTGACCCATCTCTAGTCAGAGGACAGCACATCTGAAGGCTTTTGAGGACATGCAGTGTCCTCCTGGCACCTGGTGTAGTGAGCAGAGCTCATGTTGTCAGTAGCTGATGTGTTTCAGTCTCCACATGTTGTAGGTTTCTAGGGGTGACAATTTTTGTAGGTAAATCCCCAGTGATATAAAAACAACAGAAAACCAAGATCCCACAGCCATGGATCCATGTCCTGCTGGTGTTCGGTTGCTCCTGGATACTCCCACGCACACCTCCCAATGGAATGGGAGTTGCTTTAAGTGAAGGGATTGCATTTTTGGGAAATGCCCCACTGGGCCCCATTTGTTTTTGCACTTGTACTTGGTGTTACGTCTGTCTGTCCGTCTGCCAGCCCGGGACCACGCTGTGCACATGGGACGCTGTTCCAGCCACGGCCAGTGGTGCCGAGGTGGCTCCACACTCCGCTGTGGGATCTGTGCCCAGGCCCCAGTGCCCCTGGAGCAGGAGCCAGAACCAGTGGAGCTGACAGGAACCCACCCAGCACAGCTGCGGGAAGGAGCCTCTGTCACTCGGGACTTGGATGGCTGGTTTGATTTTCTGCCTCACATTTGGGTTTTGATTTCTACTGTTTTTGTGTTGTTGAAGGAACTTAGAAAATAAAAGGTGTATTTTAATTTATTTTACTTTCAGGGCTGGACAGGCAGGGCTGTCTGACCCTTAGTTATCTAATAGCTGGTCTGAAACAATTTCAAAGGCATCCTTCTGAGTAAGGAGCCATTTCTTGTTAGAGCAATATGCATCTCTAATTCAGGGAGAAATTAAAACACTGATGAAATAGTGTTTTCTTGATGTCAAAAGCCTATTAATTTGTATAAACTCAGCTGTGGTTTTGCACCCTGACGTGGATGACAAAGCCGCTCTGTTACCCCTCACAAACTTAATAAATCTTTGCTCACAACAAATGTCCCCAGAGAGCACTAGAAGGGCGTACCTGGGTGGTGTGTGCAGCGGCCGGAGGGTGGGAGCTGTTGGGTCCGGTCTGGCGCTCAGCTCTGCTCTGGGGAGGGGGTGGTGGCTCCAACTGTGCCGGTGCCATGTGGAGCTGCCTGGGCCCTGGGCCCGCGCTGCTGCAGGTGCCATGGGTGTGCAGGGCTGGCTCACACGGAGCAGGAAGGGTCACTGCGGGACACGGTGCAGTGATGGCGGCACCGGCACAAACTCTGCTGTCCTTCAGCACTGAGGAACGGCTGCAGGAATGGCTGCCCCGTGCAGAACCAGCAACGGCGTTTCCAGGCTCCAGCGCTTGTGGGGTGTTCGTGCCACACCATGACCGACACAGGCACCGGACACGGTCACACCCCACACACGTGGCAGCAGTGCCGTTTGCCACCCCTGCAGGGTGGGCACCTCCTGCCAGCCTGGCCCTTCCCATGGCGCTGAGGGGGCTCAGCGGTTGCTGAGCACAATGACCGACCCTCGGGGACCCTCAGAGGCCACTGTCCATAACCTGCTTCCCTGCAATCCCCTGTGGCCCAGCCACTTGCATCAGCACTAAAAACAAGATGTTTCTAATGGTGATTTTCTGCTCTATTGAGATACTCCTTAAGGAAATGCAGGGGGCTGCACATGCAGCGTCAGAAAAGACACTTGGAACTCTCTGTTCCTTTGCTGAAGAGAGATGACAAAGTTCTCTCAATTGCTTTCAGGTGCTTCTTGTCAGAAGTGGAGAGTTACTGCAGCTGGCTCCAGATGAGGCTCCCTTTGCAGAAATAACTGCCCTTGGGAACCCGGCTTCCACCCACCTTTGCCGAGGAGGATCCTTTCCCAGTGCTCCCTGGGCTGGGTGGTGCCTGTGCCCCCCAGGGTGGGGGCTGGCACAGCCGGGGGGACCCATCCCCTGTCAGCAGGCGGGCACAGGGCGGGCACAGCCCAGCACAGCACGGGGCAGGAACACGGGGTCAAGGCACCCCCAGCCCCACCAGCTGCAGCAGCAGGCACAAAAATGACATTAATAATAATTATGAAAATAAATAATATATAACTAGTTTATACTTACTGTGGGATCACAGAATGGTTTGGGTGGGAAGGATCCTTAAAGCCCATTCCATTCCACACCCTGCCATGGGCAGGGACACCTTTCACCAGGTTGCTTCAGCCTGGCCTTGGACACTTCCAGGGATGGGGCTGCCACAGCTTCTCTGGGCAACCTGTGCCAGGGCACCTCCCCACCCTCACAGCCAAGAATTTCCTCACAATATCCCATCTAAATCCACTCTTTTTCAGCCTTAGGAGGATGCCTACCATGTTCATGTGTATTATCTTATTTCTACATCTGTTAATGTGCTCTCTCTATATATAACATATTATGTATCTCATGATCTATATGTTATGTGCTATAGTATGTTTAATTATATATCTAACATTTTACATTGTGTATGTCTATATGTTTAAACTGGATAGTGTATATATTATAGCTACCAAATACACACAGATACAATATGTATATGTTATTACATTAAGCATAATACATGCAATCTATAATCTATAATCTACATATAATACAAGTTATGTAATGTGATATGCATTATATAATATACAATGTATTATACCATATATGCACTATATATTTTATCTTATTAAGACTTGGTTTAGAATATTGATATTCAATATAAATTTAACAATTTTATCAAAATAGGGGGTTAAGGTTACGTATATACGACATATTACATATACATTATGTATGCATATATCTATATATGCACACATCCCTGGCATATAATGTAGCTGTATGTACATAGCACTACATAAACTACAACATTACTATATGAACTGTAATATTGTGTGCATATATATGTACATTCTAAATAACAGCATACTGCTTAAGAAAATTGTGTAAATCACATCAGCAACATATGAATCCTATATAACATTCCATAAAGAATGTGTAATATAATACACAATACAATATTCTGCACACATATAATGTGCATCACGGAATATTCAATGCACTACGTACACACAATAAATAATACTATTTTAGGTCATGTCTGACATGCAGGTATAGTGCATATGCCAGGTGTGCAGATGTGTGTGCACCTGCACACCCCCTGCACTGTGCAGTGCACTCTGTCCTCCACAGCACACAAACCGTGGCTGCAGGGCTGAGAAAACATTCTGTGAGACAATGGGGTGGCATTACAGCAATATTGGCAACGTATCACTAATTATCTCTAATGCATATACGATATTATGTACTGGACATAATGTTTTCTAATATGCATTGTCTGATAGACAACATAAACCAGACATTATATATTAGTATATGTTGTATAATATAATATGCATTGATATAATGTGTGTAATATACACTGGGCTACATATTCTGAAGTATACCTTTATAGATTATAGGATATACTGCTATAAAAGGAATATGTTTATATTTACTTTATCACAGAATCTCTGATTCTGAAGGGACCTTAAAGCCCATCTTGTTCCACTCCCTTGCCATGGGCAGGGACACTTTCTGCTAGACCTGGTTGCTCCAAGCCCCATCCAACCTGGCCTGGAACATTTCCATGGATGGGGCAAATGTAAAATATAATGTATTGTATGTAATAGATTCTGAATTTCTTCTGTGTGCATATAACTAAACAAAAACTTCCCAGCTCAGCCCCCCCAGCTGTACAGCATTTTCCTCACATTTGTCTTTGCACTGGTGTTGCAATACAGGCAATAGTAAGAAAAACTGTAAAATGAGATAATAAAACAACACCGTGGTCCCGTACCCTGAGGAAGCAGAACCTGTTCTGATCTGCAGCTAAGTCATGTCCCTTCTCTCCCCCGGCCCTGGCCCAGCACCCACTGCAGCACCGACAGAGCTTCTGCTCTGCTTTAAATCCTCCCTGTCAGTCACCTTCCCCGTCCCTAAAAAAGGCTGGCAAGCCTCGGTAGGGCATGGGAACGGGCCAGGCTGTACATACCCTCACCTTCAGAGCTGCAAGGGGGCTTTATTAGTGCTTGAAAAGAGCTGTTCTTTTCCAAGAGGAACAGGGGATTTAACCAGCCCTGGCTGTTGGCAATAACATCCCCGTTACCGTGTCGGGAGGCCGTGTTCCGAGGAGGGGTTGCAGCTCCCCACGCCGCCGATGCCACCGTGCCCAGCTCTGCCCAGCCCAGCTCTGCCCAGCCCAGCTCTGCCCAGCGTCGGTGCCTCGCTGCCTGCAGGGAGGAGAAGGGCACAGTCAGAGCAGCACCAGCTGTGCCCTGGCCCTGCAGCCCAGCACTTGGATTCAGGAACGGTTTGTAAGGACCAAGCCTGCAGGTGCCCGGGTATCACAGGACAGCCTGGCACGTCCATCTCTCTGATTAAGGTATCAAATGATGCCAGAGGCAGACTTTTGTTATGTGGATTGTGAACTAAATTTAATTAAGACCATTTAAAGCCCTGATGAGGCTTTTTATCTGCATGGAAGGATCTGAGGTGTTTAAATGCAATATGCAGGACATACCCACATGCCCCAGTCTTTCACCCAAGGGGAGCTGCCCAGGTACCTCAGGAAGCTCCTGTCCCATCCAGCCCAAAGCACCAACACCCCACAGCACCCTGTGGCACCTGATGGCACCACATGCCCTGCAGCAAATGGGCAGAAACACCTGTGACTCCGTGAGCCATTTCCCAGCTCATTAACGGCGACACATGTTTTTAAACAGTTTGTGTGAGGAAGAGGTTTGAAGCCCAAGGCAAAAGCCCATCCAGTCCTGTTTCTGGGCTCGCCTCAAACCCCTGGACACCTCCCAACTGCCCACCCAAGATACAGACAGGGAGGTGCTGGGCAGGACCCCTCAAAACCTTGGGTCTTGCCCAGCTATGTTTCCCAGGGAGTCCTTCCAGCAAGGCAGCTGACGGATGCCCCACTGCACTGATGGCTGCGAGGGACTGTGGCGTTAGTACCAACAATTGCTAAAAACCTACAGTGGACAAGCAGGCTGCAGAGGCTCCTCCCCTGCAGGTGGGGGCAGCTCACCCCAGCTCCTCACCAGCTCCATGCCCATGGGGCAGGGACAGAGTCCATGCTGCATTTCTCAGGACCCTGCAGGTTCCTGTAATTAACCTCCCTGGCTCCTTTCCGTGTGCTCACAATCCATTCCAGACCAGCATTCGGCTCCTGGTGTGCTCGGAGAGGAGGAAGGCTCCGGTGGTGTGTGCACCGGGCAAAGCCCTCTGTCCAAAGCCCTCGCTGCCTCCCCCACAACACATCAGTGTTTTCCATGGTGCCCAAACCTGTTCCTGTTGGAGGCACTGAGAGCCATCAGCAATTGATTTGTTAGCTGACAGCAGGAGGCTTTGTTTGCACAGCGCTGGCTGCCCGTGCTGCCGGATGGCGAGGACATGGCACCCACCAGGCCACACCTGCATTCCCAGGAGCTGCCCTGAGCAGCACTGGGCAAGCTCCGGGTCCTGCCACGGCACTGGGCTCCCAGTGTAGCCACTGAGCTACAGGTGGGCTTAGGGGTCTCATGGGCACAGAGGAGGAGGCAGAGCTGAGCCCACTAGAGGTCCAGTGCTGAGGGCCTGGGCAGTGGGACGGCACAAGGGAGGAGCTGGTGAGGGGTAGGGACAGACCCTTCCCCAAAATACTGCCCAAGGGGGGCTTGTGTGAGCAGGTGGCTTTGTGACCTGTCGTGGTGGTGCGATGCCCTTCAATATCAGGTGGCAAGAGACGCAAAATGGTGATGCCAATGGCTCCCTGTAAAACCCCCCCGGCAGTCGGTGCTCACCCTCACAAGGACCCGGCAGTGCAGGCAGGGGAGAAGGGCTGGTGCAGGCAGGGGAGAAGGGCCGCAGACACAAAGGCTCAGTAGCTCTGCCCAGGCTGCTGCAGCCCAGTGACGCCAAAAGCAAATTCCACCCTTTTTACAGGATGACTGTGAACGGAGCCATTTCCAAAGTACTCCACTGTCACCTCTCCTTACACCTCCCCAACACAGACTCTCCACTGATCACGCTTTCCACTGCAATCCTCAGCAGAAGCTACAATATATTGTTGGTGCCAATGGCTACCAAGACAGTTCTACAAACCTGGGAAATTCTTCTGGCCCCAACAAATTTTAACTGATTCCTACGGGGACAGACACGGATTACTTGACTATTAGGAAATGGACACCGGTATGAAGCTGTTGTTTTGTGGCCTGCTGGTGCCACAGGCTTCGAGCATGGATTTCATCAGGAGCAGCGCTGTGATGGTGTGGATGGAGCTCTGGGGTGAGGATGCACTGGGCATCGCTCTAGAAACAGTGTCCAGTGGCCCGAGAGGACGGCCACGTGTGTTGGCAAAGTCCCCTTGGGGAGTGGAGAGCCCGGCCCACGGACAGCTGCGACACCGTCTGCGACAGCCCAGGATCTGGGGCTTTCTGAGGCCAGGGAGCCAGGAAAAGCAAAACCACACCTCTTGCCAGGCATGTTTTGCTGCCTGTGTCTCCCGGGCCACGGTCTTTTCTAGTATATCGATCTACAGCTAAAACCACAGCTTTGCCGAGGCCTGAAGTCAGCCCTGGCATAACCAAGTTGGATTCCTAGGAATCAAGACAGCAGGAGTGTACCTGCACTGGTGCTCTTTAGCCTGACTGAACAAGAAAAAAAAAATCATTCTCTAGAAAGACTTTCTTTCTCTACAAGCTTTGCTGTATCAAAAAATACCCAGACAATTCCTGGGAAATTTCCCTACAAGAAGCTCCTTTTCCACAGTGAATCAGTCGAGTCTCAGGCAGGAGCCTTTAGGTGAGAGAAGACGGCAGGAACAGGTTGGAAACCTCTTCCCGTGAGCCAAAGCCTCAAAGGTGTTGCCATCCCAGAGACGGAGCAGCCCTAAGGCCCACGCTGAGCCCCTGCAGTGCTCAGCCCTTCACACACCAGTCTGGGAGCAGGGATTTGCTCGGGGCTGCCAAGCAGATCCACATGCCATGGAGTTGGCTCCATGGCTTCTCCTGCTGGCAAAGGGGGAGATCGTACAGGTGCACTGCAACAGCTGCCTGTGAGAGGGGTGTCACAGCCCCAGCACACACCTTCCCCACTTACACAGATACTACAACACTTTTCACTAAAAAACTTATGGAACTACTTTCTGACCAAACCCTGCAATTCCCACATACAGACACAAGCCCTGAAGAGCTACCTATATATATATACACGCTTGTTGAAGGATGCTGCAGAAATCCCACAGCAGGGCTGAGGGACCAGGCAGGAGCAGACTCCAGCCCTGCCAGGAGGCACACAGACGTCTGGCATTCCATGTGCCAGGCTTCCCAGCTCACAGCCAAAGCAGGATGCCGCTGCTCCACCAAGCCCCTGAACCCCACACCTCGGTGCCAAGCACACAGCACGGCCCTCCCAGGCAAGGATATCTCCAAGTTCTCCACTCATAAGTGCTGCCCTTCCTCGAGTTCTCCCTGCAACACCTTCCAGGGAAGGTCCCCAGCAGCAGAGCACAGGGCTGACTGTGCCCGGTGCCAGCTGTGACAGGGGCAGGGCTGGGGCTCCAGCCCACAGCCAGGGCACCCCTTGCTCAGCAGGGCAGCCTTCCCGAGGCGGCCACGCCGCACCCTGCTCTCCTTCTCCCGGTAATTCCTTTTTAATTAATCTCATCAAACGGTGCGGAGCAGGAGCAGGAGGAGCAGGCTGGTGCCCACGGAGGCTCCCTGCCAGCTGCACTGCGGAGCTGGGTCCCAGCCCCCCGAGCCCTCAGGGCCAGCCCGGCAGGGAGAAGCAGGAGGGGTGGGGGCACGCTTGAATTTGAAAATATTTTATTTGAATAGTAAATAATTATACAGTTGAAACAGTTCTATCGAAGCACTCTATAAATAGCTAACAGTTAAGAAAATAATGTGTGTAGAAAAAGAGATTGCATCTAAAAGTAAGAGCTGTTGGTTGCACAGGATAAAATGGTTAAGATCATGTGTTATTCTAGGTATAAAAGTTAAAACCTTTTTAGCAGATCCCTTTAGAAAAAAAGATCTTCTAAAACGCACAGTGAAATGGCAGGCGGGGAGACAAAAAAAGCACATTAGAATATCTGCAATCAAATAATATCAATCTTCATAATTAATATAAATAAATAACGAATAAATAACATAATTACTCAAACCAACATATACAGATAGTCAACTCATGAGCTACCTTAGTAAGGGCAAAACAAACAGAAACAGAAAGTTGGCATGTCACAGTTAAGGCAGTTTCTACAGCATTTTCTGGAGACCATCAACAGCAGAGTCAAGGCATTTGTGGCTACACTAAAGGAAATGCTCGATTCTCTCGAGCAGTTTGATCTGTTCACATCGATAAAAACCGGAGTGAAGGAACAAAATAAAAAAAATTAAAAAAAGAAAAAAAAAAGAAAAAAAGAAAAAAAAGAAGAGAGAGACCCCGGGAAGGTAAGTGTAAAGCCAGATTCCAGCAGGTCGCAAGCCGTATTAAAGCTAATCGTGTGGCGGCCCCGGGGGAGCGGCGCGGGGCCGGCGGGGAAGGCACGGGCGGCTCAGCAGGCGGGACGCAGCGGCACCTGGAGCAGGATGACCTGCCGGTTCTCCGAGGGGTGGCACTTGTTGATGTGCCGGGTGAGGCCGGGCGAGCTGTAGAAGGTGGCCGGGCAGTACTTGCAGGGGAAGACCTGGGCGGCGTGGAGGAGGCGCAGGTGCCGCTCCTGGCTGCTCTTGCTGGGGAAGGTCTCCCCGCAGACGGGGCAGAGGCGGCACTCGGCGGCGGGCGGCTCCTCGGCAGCAGGCTCCGGGGCGGGCGCGGGGGCCGGTGCTGGGGCCGGTGCGGATGCGGGGGCCGGGGCGGTGTGCCCCAGCAGGTGCTTGCGCAGGTAGGCTTGCCGGCGGAACCGCTTGGAGCAGCGGGGGCACTCGAAGAGCCCCTCCTCGGAGCCCGCCTCCGAGGCTCCGCCAGGGCTCGGCGTGTCCCGCTCGCTGCCGCTGCCGCCGCTCGCCTCCTTCGGCGGCTCCTCCGCCGGGCCCGGGGCCGCGGCCGGTGCCCGGCCCGCCTCGGGGCCACCCTTGGCGGCGGGCGGACGCGGCTTGTGCCAGCGGCGGTGGGAGGCGAGGTTGGCGGGGCAGGAGAAGACCTTGTCGCACTCGGGGCAGCGGTACTCCACCCGGACGATGCGTGAGCAGCGGTGCTGCGCCAGCGCGAAGGGGTCCCCGTACTCCTCCTTGCAGAGCTGGCAGATGAACTCGCCCAGCGGGCGGGCGCAGCCGCCCCGCGCCTTGGCCGGCGCCTCCACCGGGCCCTCCTTGATGCGCAGCCCCAGCACGGGCGAGGTGGTCACCTCGTCCTCGAAGGTCAGCTTGCGGATCGCCTTCGTCTTCTTGCCCGACGGGGCCTTGTGCCGCCCGGGCTCGGCCGCGCCCGGCGGGCGCTTGTTGGGCGGCGGGCGGCCCGAGGCGGGCGGCGCGGCCGG